GAGAGGAAATGAAAGGAAATAATTCCCTCTTCTCCCTTCTCCTCCCCTCCACCCCCTCAACCCAAACATCAGATTAGAGAGCTCAGAAATACCATTTTTCCAAATGACAGCATTTGGAGGTAGTCCTGCAGCTCATCAACATAAATACGATCCAGTTTCATCACAAATATTAAGAGAAAACTAATAATATGGATGTGAAGCAGAACAATGAAGAAACTAATTAGAAAATGAGAACAACTGATAATTTATTGCGAAATCAAAAGCTTAGTTCGAAGACTGGATACAACCATTAAAAAGACAAGAAACTAACACCCGAATTCTAGACATATATAAAGTGCACAAAGTAGAAAGGCAGTAAAAGATGAACAAAACTTCTAATTCCAGCACCACTATCAATCAAAAGAGAGATCAAGAGCAATAGGAAAGGTTTTGTTTCCAAGTATCTGCCAATGTAGAATTACAAACCAGACTCAAACTAAAATTATATAAGACGCCCAGAAATGTTTTTTAGAGAACAAATGGCCTGCAAAGAAAGGATAAAACAAATCAATAGAAGCAAAGGATAATAGACAGTATCAAATGCCTCAAGAAATAAGCATCAGGCTCATGTAGCATTACTCAAACTCAATTAGACAGCATAACATCATTGTGATTTGGACACACCCTCCAAAAATTCCAAACATTAAGTAGCTATCCAAACTCAAATTTCTGAAACTAACCTCTATCTCTCAGTTCATCCTTACTCCAAAATCAATTTGCGAAAATGAACTAAATTTCAGTATCAGATTCTGAAGCCTAACAAAAAAATCTCTTGTTTCCATCCTAATCATTTGAAAAAGTTTGATCATAAAAACATCAGTTAATTCATGTCATATTATTAAAGACAGAAACTTTCAGAGCATGTCACTGCAATACCATAAAGGGTTCCACTCTTGCGTTGAAAGTTAGGAAATTCTAACTAAGAAAAGACAACTTTCAGAACATGTCCCATTTTTGGTTTGATTTCTACACAGTCTAGCATGGATTCCTTCAAATGAATTGCTAATGAATCAGATTATATTAAGTAAAAGAGAAAATATAAACAAAAAAAGTTCATCCCAATACCTCAATCCTCAGAGTCTCACTGAGTAGGGATCATGCCCGTCTTCCTGGCATAGGCGAAAATCCCTCCAGCCTCAATCACAGGTCCGGCATCGCCAATTGGCTTCAGCTTGTACTCCTTCCCTGTGGTGTGATTAATTAACCGGCTTCCTCCCTCCTCTAGCTCAACAGTCACCACATCCCCAGTCTTACACTCTTCGCAGACCCTTACTTCAGATTCTACTGGGTAAACTTCACCGGTGGCCACGGAATTTCTGAAAAAGATCCGCGCGTAAGATTCCGCCACCACTGCTTTCGTCCCCGCCGCACCGAGCGCCACGGGCGCGTGCTCACGCGAGGAGCCGCAGCCAAAGTTTGCGCCAGCGATGATGATGGAGTATTTCGTTTTCAATTCATTGGGCTCGATGAAACGCGTGGAGTAGGAGGAGGGAAGGCCGATCAAGGCGTAAGAGCCGAGCTTTTCGTACTCGGCAGGATTGGAGGGGACCAAAGTGAGGTACTCGGCGGGGATAATTTGGTCCGTATCAATGTTGTCACCGACAACATAACAGAGGCCATGGAAAGTGGTGGCAGTGGGGGCAGATACGGAAGAAGGAGCGGTGGCTCTTAGGGTCAATGCGGTGACGCGTGGGGTGGAAAAGGAAGCGCGTAAGGCATGGGATGTTGCGCGGAGAGAATGGGAGAAGCCGGACTCGTAGGCGAGAGCGAAAGGTTTGAGGAGAAGGTGGGAGGGTTTTGGGGAGGCGGCGAGGGCAGGGTTTGCCAGAGAGAAAGAAATGGAAGCCGCCATTGCTGCGCTGATTTTTCATTTTTGGACCGAGAGGTTTAATTTTGTAGTACCAAAATTTTTTTTTTTTTGGGTAAAAATTTGTAGTACCAAAATTACTGATGGGAAACACTTAAAATATCAACGTTTAAGATTCTGCCACGTCATACAAAAGAGACAGTGAGATCAAGTGGAAAGTCAGATGTAGTCTTCCTGTCTGCGCCGTCGAGTAGGGTGGTTAATCAATGGACGAGATCGTGCCAGCTGTCAACGTTTAGAGGAAAGAAAGTGGGGGAAAAGAAAATATTTCTGGGGGGCATTCCGAGAATTGAACTCGGGACCTCTCGCACCCTAAGCGAGAATCATACCACTAGACCAAATGCCCATTTTGATTACTTTTGTTGATTTTAGTTTTTTTAAAGTTTTTCTACATTATGACCTCCTAATATTCTGCTCTCCTTACTTGTACAGGATGGTCTTTGTAAATAATATACACTATTATGAAATACTATATAAATTTCCACTTCCTCAAAAAAAAAAAAAGTTTTTCTACATTATGTATTGAATTCACTTACAACGAACTCTACAACAGCATCTCCCCACACTTATTTCAATATCTAAATTAAAAATTTTAAACCCTTAAATTACTAAAACCATCCCTCGAGGCAATATCAAATTTCATATTAATAAAAGGAAAAAAAAAAGGAGAGAAAAACAAAGACCATCAATAGGGAAGAAAACCATAATATCATAAAATAATTACTCAAAATAATACAATAGTGATTACAGTGCTCGCATGAATATCTGAAATATTCTCCGCAATATATTTTCTTGGAAGCAGTCAGATTCAGGGAAAAAAAAATTATTCAAAAAAAAAAAAAGAAGGGAAAAATAAGCAGAAGCAGCGCAGCTACACTACTAGGAGCTGATAGCATTTCTGTATTCTATCTGTGTTTGCTGTAGCCGCTCCGTTCCCGGTCTCTGTGCCCTCTTGCGTGCCGCGGCTCCTCTTCCCTCCCAGCCAGTGGAAGAGGCGATGGTTCATGTCTTGAAGGCTTCCTCTTGAAATGCCGGTCGTCATCACTGGACTCGTAGTCTACCGCACTGCTACTGCTCTTCTTCACACCACCACTAGCAGCAGGCACTGCTTTGGCAGCAGCAGCAGCAGCAGTGGACGATGACTTGTGGTCGTCATAGTAACCATTGGAAGATGCCCTGTGATGAGCAGAAGAAGATGCAGGTTCAGAGGAGGGCTTGCGTCTCTTACTGGCATCTTCTTCTGGGAAACTTATGCGAGAGAAGACACTACCCTTATGCTTCTTGTCTGCAGCATTTGCTGAGGAGGGAGACACTTTGGTGATCATTTCAATGGTGGGCTTTGAGGAGGATTCTGGGCGCTGATGGTGGTGGCGGTCACGTTCTCTCTCACGGTCATCATAGTCAGGATCACGATCACGTTCATGGTCATGTTGGGGGTCTGATTTCCTCTTTGAAAGACGGGGTGGTGGTTCAAGGTCGCGTGAGTTGTGTTCTGGTGACAATCTCTCTGATCGGTGCCTGTGGTTCTCCCCAGCAGACGATAGTGGATTAACCTTCTGCAACCACAATAACATAATATAACCATCTGTTTTTACTGCCAAAGCATCATAAAAGCACGTACATTTGGACAACTTGTGCAACCATAATAACATAATATAACCATCTGTTTTTACTTCCAAAAGCATTGTAAAAGCACATTCATTTGCACCTATTTCTCCTCTTTTTTTTTTCCCTTTGAAGAAGTCCTATGGCGTATTTGACGTTTGATTATTTTCCACCTTCATATTTTCTTCATATTCTGTCGCCAACACTTTATTGAATCCATTTTGCCACAATATATGTTCTCTTGCGAAGGTTTTATCTAGTCAAATGGTAGCTGGAAACCATGCATGATACTTGCTGTTGTACATAAGAGGGGAAATGGAATCAGAAGGCAAGTTGGGGCAGTAAAAAGTACATACAGATTTTGATTTCATTGACGTAACATCACCACCACTGCTCACTTCCCTACCAAAGCCCCGATCTCTGGAGAACTCTCTGCAGCAATTGCAAGTAATTATGAATAAACTATTTAATCTTGAAAAATAAGCATCCCTAACTAAAGACAATAAAATATGATAAAGCTATTGTGTCCCTTTATTTAACTTGCTTGGAAACTTTAATACATGACTTGAAATCCAACACAGCGCAAGCAGGAAGATAACTATATATTTAAGGCATCTATTTTTCTAATCGGGGTATCTATGACAAGAGAGTTGATGAAATGATCATCTAGAAGGTGGATTATGTTTTCAATCCCATTACTAAAGAAAATTGCGCCACCAAAATCAAGGACATTACCTGTCACCTCTTCTCTCATTCTCACGGTTTCTCCTCAAATCTGCCTTCCGTGCCTCAAACTCCTCCCTACTCATGACGGGTGGTGGAGCAAGGTTCATGCCCATCCTGAAGTCAGCAAGATCCCAACAAATTTTAAAGATCAAAAGACAGAATCATGCTCATAAGACCTCAGCTGAGTTTATCCAATTGCAAAAGTTCACGTTGTTATTGATTTCAGTGCAGCAGCAAAACTCCACAGAGACAAACATGCCATGCATAACCACAAGTAATACAAGGGCAAGAGAAGGGTATCTACGGAAGAACATTTACTAAATCAGACACAGTGCATACCTCTGAGGTGGGACACCAGGAAAGAAGTAATTTTGTGCACCAAAGGGGTCTGGAGGAATCATCCCTCCAAAGGGCATGTCAAATGGACCTAGTCCATATCCCATATAGGGCATTGGACCACCATAAGGACCAACAAGGCCATCCATCCCAGGCTGCATGCCATTCCAGTAGGGGTTACATCCTAAGGGACCCATAGGCATCATAAAGCTATCTGCTGCAAGGTCTTGGGAGGTTTTCCACTGCAAGTCTATAGATACAGAAAACAAGATTCAAATCATCAAAGATTCAAAAGGTATTTATAAACCAGACAAACAAACACAGAACAAGGGCAGCAGACCTACCATTTGCTGGGAGGCGAGCCTTCTTCTTTTTCTTTTTCTTTCCTGCAAGTTGAAATCAGCATTATAATCATCAATTCGACAAGAAGACCCATAAATTACAGATACCCAATCATTACCTGCCTCACCAGCAGCTACCTTCTGCTGCACTTCTTCTTCAGCAAGAGGGGCACTGCCCTGTGATGCTGGCTCCTTCATGCTCATCGACTCCAATGTAGCCTCCGATGCATCTGGCAGTTTTATGGTCGTCACTTTCTCTTGTACAGGAGGAACAGCTGGTTTCGCCTCATCCACTTTTTCAGTTATGTTAGTGTTTTCTTCATTGGCAGGCAATTGCTTCTGCTCTCCCTTTGATGCAGCAGATGCAGTAGGGGAAGGGATCTTAGGCTGCGGACATTGAGCAGACTCCATATCTAAATTTGAAAGACAAGAATAACATCAAGAGTAGGCCTATTATATGAAAATAGCAAAGATTCAAAACCATATTATTAAATTGCTGTCTCACAAACCTTGAACTTGGAAAGTGCTTCCAGCGTTCTCAGCACTGCTGTTACCAGACTCCAAAATACGATTAATTGTATCTCTAAGTGTCTTATTTGGCAAAAGATCATCTGCAAGTATGTGTGTTGCCCCACAAACACACATTGATCTTGAGATAATGTAGTTCCTAATACCTGAATTGAGTTCCTTAAAGTAAGCCTCAATTTGTAAAACAGTAGACAAAATAATTCAAAGATAGACATCTAAATGATTATGCACTTCACGGTAATAAAATTGAAAATCTAATAAGTAATGAACTAATATAAAGCGGAAATTGTGGAACAAAAAGCTTGCCACTTTCCAAAGAATACATGAAATAACAGAGAACTTACACTTGTCACAGAAACTTGTGAAACAACACTTGCTTGTTAACACAGCATCTTTCATAACATCTTTGCACAAGGGGCAATGAAGCTCAGGTGGAAGATCACCAACTGACCGCGTGGTAGGCAACCCCTCAATCTCCTTCTCAAAAGCAGCCCTGTGGGTAAGCAAGAAACAAATATTTCAAGCCTAAACAGAGACTTCCCTAAAAGCAAGAACATGGCATACTTAAAACACAAATAAAATTGAGCATACTCATTTGGTTTCAACACAGCAACTGCACCACTTGGCAGAGCATATGAACCATCTGGGTTAGCCATTAGCATAGACTTTGGGATGCCAGTAGGGGGTTTCACTCTTTTAATATCATAATTTGGATCACCATTTGTTGGGCAATGCTGAATAAAATGCCCTGAATCACAGAATTCCATAAAGTGAGCAGATGTAGCACTGACTACAATTCTTAAGAAAAAGATCAACAGTAAGTAATACAAACATACCAGGCACCTTGCACCGGTGACAAACATAACCCTGTGGAGGTGTTTTGCGCTCCATTCCTAATCGGCCTCAATAATGAAAAACATAAATTTCAGTTCCATATGTAAGTTGTTGGCACATTTAGAAGAACACACAAAAGCAAAGGGTAGGCAAAAGTGAAGAGACACTATGATAAATGCCAGAAAATTGTCAAAACAGCATAGGGGAGACAATTCTTTTCTTTTTTTTTTTTCTTTTTTTTTTTAAGGAAGATGATAACATATAAAGGAGACAGAAACAACATTCTCTATCTTTTCTTCAATAATACCCCATTACCCCTTTCAGGACCCTACAAGGTCCAATACCAACCATCAGCAGACAGACTCACAGGCACAGATATTTCAATATGGTAACAGAAAATATAATTCAAACAGAGTATGAGAATCACCAAAACCGCGTCCACCAATCCTACCACCCATACCCCTTCCAAAGCCTCTACCAGGACCAAAACCATCAGCACCTTGGCTGCAGATTCAAAACAAATTTCTTAGAACCAACATTATATAATAACTCCTAAAAAACAAATGACACCATATTGGACAATTAAACATCTCACCGCTGCCAATCCAAGGCTGGTGTATCAATTAAAGCCTTAATTTTGCTATCTTCATCAGCTTTATTTGCAGGGGGGGCATCTGGAAGTGGATTACTAGGCTGAGCAGGCGGCATTTCAGGAATTGAATATAAATCATTTCCAAATTCATCCCATTCAGAGTCTTCAGGCTACAAATACAAATCAGGTTTTTAATTCCTTCATATTGTTTTTCTCATAACCGGCTAAACATGTTTTTGCTTAGAAAACAACTATAGCCAACACCATTAACTTAGGAAGAAAACAAATTCCCCACAAGCGCAAAGGGAAATAAATATAGACTACAGCTTACATATCCCATAACAGATGCATCAGCCTCAGGGAAGGTATTCTTTTCTGGTTGAGAAATTTCAACCTTGTCATCCACCTTTGGCCTGAAAAGTATAAGAAAACACAATTATAATCTAGCTCTTAAGTTATGCATGACAGCAAGTGGCAGCACATGCATCATGTAAGGGCACAATACATGTTCCAGGTTAGGAGATGAGTTCAGCTGAAGAAACATTTCTTACTAATTTTGTCATAAATTCACCACTGTTAGTACAATTAAAGTGGTCAAGAATTCAGAGGATTGAGATAGTACTCTGGTGCAGCAACAATAGGCAAGCGAGGCCTTCCAGGAACTCGTCGAATTAAAACAGATGTATTTTTTGGGATTAACATTGCCTCATCAAGGTATTCTGAAATTGAAAAGGCGCAATCTATAAAACTATTGCATAAAATTAACTTAACCCATGAACCAGAAAGCAGTTAAGTAATATGCAAGTAAGCTAAAACACCCCCAATGGCAGTCCTAGAAACCATAGTCATAATTTTAAGTGACTTCTTTCATGCAGGATAACTAAAGCAATCATATAGCCTACATGAATGAGCCTTCTTGTTCAAGTTTGGCAAGCTGCCATTAGAAAGCTACCATAGAAACACACAATCTAAGAAACACAGTGGACAAAAAACCCTTCTTTAAGTTATGATTGTTTTAGAACCCCATTGATTCAATAACCCATGAATTAAATCTAACAGAAAACAAGACGAACCTTCATTAGTTTGGGCGTTAGTGACCACAAGATCGAAGTCTGTACCCCTGCCCAAGTGCTTTGATTCAAATATTTTTTCTTTCAAAGTACCAACGCTAATAAAAGCACCATCCATTGGAATGGAATCAAAATCTCTTGCACTCTTAAACTTGTAATAAACAGCCATTTTTGTTTTCTTCTGATTCAAAGAAATAAAATAATACGAAAAAGATGAACACAGAAACAGACTATTGGCCTTCAAAAATATAAGGCCTGATATTCATATAAACAGTACAAAGCTCTTTTTTTTTATTATTATTATTTTTAATTCTAATCTCTAACCAAACTCGCCCAAAGCTTCTCTGATGTGATCCGCGCCCTTCAAGAATGCTACTCTAAATCAGCCACCGCCGGAATCCTATCAATTCGGTGCAACCCAAGTCGAGGGGAGAGAAGAAAACCAAAAAGCCCTCTTCGCTTCGCACAAAGTCTTCACAACCAATACTTCAATTATTCGATCGATTAAACTTAAACATCCGATCAGAGAACAAAAAAATAAAATCTTCAAATCTCGAAAAGATCTTCAGCCTAGATGCAAGATCAGCCGAGAAATCTCCATCAAAGAATCGCCAACTCCGAAGAAAACATCCACCGCCGGAAAGAAAGTGAGGAGAAGAAGCCTAACGACCGGAGAATCTCGATCATATCAAGCGACCACAAGAAGACGCCATCATCAATTCATTTTATGAGTAGTAAATTGTTAGGGTTAGGGCTCGCCGACGAGTTCGACTCCGG